AAAACGGGGCACGGGATGGCGCTCCCCCCCCGCAGTCCATTTTTGCTCCCAGGGGGATGCAGGAGGTTGAGTGTTGCCTGTCACATCCTCTCGCCATGCCACGCCCACCATGGCCACGCCCACCTAGCCAGTCATTAGGGCAGAGAACTGGTTGTTAAATTATTTGAATCCCATCACTGGTTGAAAGGATTAGCCAATGACATCATTGTTTCCTGGAGGATGCCCAGTTGGGGGCTCCTTTCATATCCCTGGCAGGAGCTGGAGTGAAGGACAGGAGCTCAACCCTGCCCCACAGCAGCACTTGAGTCTCAAATGTGGGCTTGCTAACCTCCATCCCAGCATCCTAACCACGCAAGCTGCTGTGCTCCCCAGGAGGTCACATGAAACAAGGCTCCTGGAACGCTATCCTTGGATGCAATGATGGTGGAGAAATATTAAGATTTCCTCACCTTACTGCCATGAGATAGGCCCTAAGAGCAGATCAAACTTGGATTCAGTCAGATTAATTCTTCATCATCCTCCAGGAGTGCTCCTGATGCCTCTTCACCTGCTTCATCTAAATCTTTTTTTTTTTGCTTTTGTTACGCAACCCAGGTATTTATGACATAAAAAGATGTAATCTTCTTGTGCCTTTTTCATGTACCCTCCTTTATTACCAGAATTATCTTTGATGTGATAGCACAGTCAAGATGGTGGCCACACCAGAGCAGGGGTGGGATTCAGCCGGTTCGTACCGGTTCAGGCGAACCAGTAGTTGTGACCTGCAGGTGGGCCCGCCCCCTCCACGGCGCTATGCCGTCCTATTTAGCTGCATTTTTTAAGCTGCACGCAGGTGTGCAAGTGCATGTACAAGCAAATCACATGCATAGAAGGCAGTGTACATGTGTGGAAGGCATACAAGCGAGCAAAGCGAGCGTGCCCGCATGCTCACATTTTCGGTGCTGGGACGAACTGGTTGTTAAATTATGTGAAGCCCCCCTCTGCACCAAAGCCCCTATTTTACAACATACATATAACATAGCACAGTTATGGCTACCGTCTTGACTTTTGAATATCCCATTTGCGACAATCAAAACTAAAAAGATCTGAGCAGATTCTGAACAGATCCAGCCTAAACTACAATTAGCTTGCGCTGAAATCAATGCACCAAATCAGAGTTAATTGTCCAGTAAAGTCCAAGGCCATTGAAGTTCGTGGCCACTTAAATACAGTTTATTATGGATCAAAGTCTGCTTCAAATCACTCTGGATTGAACATATTGCCCTTTATGTAATTGAGTGATAAAAAGTGTTTGTGTATCCTAGTATTTATATATAACTGATTAGAGAAGACCAAGCAGGGAAAACGTTTACCTGGAAGCATTATATATATATATATATATATATTAAAAAAAACAGTACAGGTTGTATATTATAAACTGAAAATGTCCATTCAAGTTAAATTGATCAGTGCAATGAAAAAAACACAATTGGTCTTTTGTCCTCAAAAATTCACATAGGTGACTACTGGTATTAGTTCAGCAGTAGCCTTTTGCAAATGAGGAAAAAGAGCCTTTTACAAGTCTCCTTCCTCCTTCGGTTAGAATAGAATAGAGTAGAGTAGAGTAGAGTAGAGTAGAGTAGAGTAGAGTAGAGTAGAATAGAATAGAATAGAATAGAATAGAATAGAATAGAATAGAATAGAATAGAATAGAATTTTTTATTGGCCAAGTGTGATTGGACACACAAGGTGTCTTTGGTGCATACGCTCTCAGTGTACATAAAAGATACATTCATCAAGAATCTTAAAGTACAACACTTAATGATAGTCATAGGGAGCAAATAAGCCATCAGGAAACAATATCAATATAAATCGTAAGGATACAAGCAACAAAATTACAGCCATACAGTCATAAGTGGAAGGAGATGGGTGGTGGGAACGATGAGAAAATTAATAGTAGTGCAGTAGTTCCCTTCATATTCCAAAAATCTGTTCTGGAGAGTTTGGGAAATTTGTAGATCAAGGTGGGAAATTGCCCTGCAGCTTGGATTGTGTAAGGCAGGGATGTCCAACCTTGGCAACTTTAAGCCTGGCGGATTCAAACTCCCAAAATTCCCCAGCCAGGTTGGACACTCCTGTTGTAAGGGGAATTCTTCCTGACAAGAAATGTCGTGACTGCAGCATAAACCCACGTCCATTTCCCTACTTCCTTTTCTGTCAGCACCATTAAAAGCGATACAGGCAGTAGGAGAGAGGTTCCAAGATTCTGCTTGTGAAAACTAACTATATTTTGTGAAAACTTTTTAATACAAGAATCCTTTCTGGATACCCTTTAGTGACTTTGAATATTAACAGATGGGAAAAAAATGTTTACTGTATATACAAACGTATTGATTCAGGCTATGTATTACACAGCCTGTAACAGGTTATTGTTTTTTTTTTTTTAATTTGATTTATATGCCGCCCTTCTCCGGAGACTCAGGGCGGCTTACAATGCGCTAAGCAATAAACATTAGCTGTGATGTTTTGGGGTTTTTTTTTTGCAATAGACCAAAAATTTAGTGTGAAAGTGTTTGGCTAGAGAGCAGTGGTGGGATTCAAATAATTTAACAACTGGTTCTCTACCCTAATGATTGGCTGGGTGAGTGTGGCCATGGTGGGCGTGGCCAAAGGGTGTGACAGGCAGCACTTGGCCTCCTGCATCCTCCTGGGAGCAAAAACGGGCTATGGAGGGGGCGCACCGCACCCCCCATGCCACATTTTGGGCCTAGTAGGCCTCCCTGCAGAATCCAGGGAGCAAAAATGGGCTTTTTGCCGCATTAGGGTTCTCTACCCTAATGACTGGCTGGGTGAGCATGGCCATGGTGGGCGTGGCCAAGGGGTGTGACAGGCAGCACTTGGCCTCCTGCATCCCCCTGGGAGCAAAAACGGGCTATGGAGGGGGCGCACCGCACCCCCCATGCCACATTTTGGGCCTAGTAGGCCTCCCTGCACTTATCTGAGAGCCAAAACAGGGCGTGTGGGGACTCCTGGAAGAGGTGGGGTGGGGCCAGCCAACAATTTAACAACCGGTTTGCCTGAACCAGCCTGAACCAGCTCAATCCCATCACTGGTCTTAAGTATCCGTCCATGAGGCGTTCAGAAGAGGCAGAAAAAGGGTGTTCTAAGCCATTTTGTTTTTCTTAGGGAAAAAAAGAAGCTCTGCGTGCACCCATATTTAGGACTATGTGGTTAGATTTTTCTTTTACCAGAATTATTTTCAGAAAGCTGACAAATAGTTAGGGGTGTCCCCAGGGTAGGGTCAAAAAAGCCAAGGTGACAGGAGCTGTTTTGAGTTCCTCTTTTAAAAAGAGGACCAGAAATTCTGGGGGTGGGGAAATCTTCTAGCATAGTTATGGTAGGTAGTAAATCTATAAATCCTTGTAAATACAAATGTGCTGAAATGGAAGCTTCCAGAAAAGTACTATGATACATCATTGTGTGACAGAATAGGTTCAATTTCTAGAGAGAGAGAATGTTTCCTTGTCACCTTTAAATGATTATTTTTATTTGATAGGTGGCTGAAGAGCACTGAATGCCTACAAAATAAGGACATCACATCTTTTTGAATCAATTATCAGCAACAGGGAAAGGGAAACAATTTTAGTAATTTCACTATCATCACCATATTAGTCTCTTGAATCTCTTTCTGTATTTCTCCAATCTTCTAAATAAAATTAGGGATTGATGGAGATTTATAAAAACTTGCCATTCTCTATACTGCATCAAAATTGGTATTGTATCAAAGAATATGTCAACTCGCAAAGCATCCCTGGCCTGCTCTCAAGTTGCCATAGGCAAGGGGGATGGGAAACCGATGAAGCAGCACAACAGCCAACAATAGAAGCACATTCCAGACATATCTTTCTCAAGGCTGTCTCCCAGGGTTACCCACAGTGGCTGGAGGTGAGTTATCTCTACAACCCATGAAATTGCTCCGTTGGCGAATGTGATTGATGACACACCCTGGGAGGAGGGGGGAAACAGGGTCATGATTGGGACATAAATTACGTGGGGTCAGAGTTGGCTTCACTTGGAACGTGCCAACATGAAGCTCTTAATAAATAACTGGATTTTTTTTTAAGCTTGGCTTAAGACTCATGATTTAATTAGGGCATCTGTCGGAACCCTGACAGAATATTTTATACAGATGGATACAAACCATTATTTGCAGAAGCTATTACTAGCCATGTGTTAGTTTCAATATGTTATCTTTTGATAGTCTAGTGTTTTATTTAGAACATCAGAATTGTGAGAAGCTCTAAACAAAAACCATATCTACACAACCTATTAACATTGCTTGAATGTGCATTTCCTCCCCCTTTTGAACTGAAGTGTTATTTCGTCCTAGAGACCTCCATGCCTTCCACTTGCTTTCTTCATGGTTCATTGAGAAAATCCATGGCATTTCAATTAGTGCAAAATTGATTTGGATTTCTAAGACAGACATGGTCAAAGATCACAATGAAAAGCACTAAGTGAGTAAGTTCCATGTTTTTCAGTTGTCATATAAATTATTTCTTAACCAAGGGTCTTCTTTGTCTTAGATCATTTTGTTGTGTATCCATCATAAGAGGGTCACCCAGAGTAAATAATCATAAGCAAAATAGAAGGGAATCAACAAGGACAAACATCTCACTGTCTTTCTCCAAACCAGCATATACTTTTAAAGCAAGGGTATCCAACTTTGGCAACTTTAAGACTTGTGGTCTTCAATGACTCCCTGGGAAATTCTGGGAATTTAAAGTTCACAAGTCTTAAAGTTGTCAAGGTTGGACAACCCTGCTTTAAACAATCATTGTGACACTTCAATATTTTACAGTGAACATTTCAATTTGCAGTTCTATTAGTTTTGACACGCACTTGTCACCTATCGTTATAAAACCTTTTCTCTTTTCCATTTTGAATGTGACAATGATTTCCAGTGCTCAGAAATATATATATTTCTTTTAAATTCCTGCTTTTACCTTCTTTTAAATTACCTTGTGAAGTCTGTCATCTCCATCATAATCACACACATCCTTTTAGCGAGAACGATGATGTCATTGCTGGTGTCATCCCATATTTCAATCTCCTTATCAAGCTCACTCTTGACTTTCTTAAAATCAGCTACTTGTTCGGCTATCTTTTCTTTCTCCGCCTCTGGCAACTGAGTCATCTTTGCCTGCAAAAATCAAGATAATTTGATCTGCAAAACATCTGCCTCTATCAGAGGACATCCTCCTTTTACAGATTGGAAGGGACTTTAGCAAATTATTGCTGTATAGGAAGTTAGGACCCACCCCTCTCCTAGAAAAATGAAATATTCTAGGAAATATTAAAAATGCAGATTATTATATTTCCCTGGATGAGAAATGGGGAAACATGTTTTTTTAGGCATGAAGCAGATTCACTCTTAATAGCCCCCACCCTGCTCAATAGCCCACAGCAGATGTCAGCAGTTAAGAGAGAAAGAGATAGCTAGGTCTATTTATAAGCAAATGCCCTCACCCAAGAGCCAACAAAGATAGGATTAGCCCTCTACCCATCTAGCAACAGAACTCACCACATGGCACCTGGGGAGATTGCATCACCCAGCAAGGCTCAACTAAACCTGGGACTCAAAAGGCAACCTACAAAGTTATCCCTGCATGGCCCCATGGGAGCTCCCATTGTGAACCAGTAGTAAAGGTGAGTAGAACCCACCCCTGACAGGGACGGTAGACACGCTGGTATGCTTATGCACACACCTTAAAGACCTCTTAGGAATTGGGTGAGGTCTACAGTAGACAGTCTAAGGTTAAAGTTTTGGGGGTTTGGGGAAGAAACCACAGAGTCAGGTAATGCATTCCAAGCATTAACCACTCTGTTACTGAAGTCATATTTTCTGCAAACAAGTTTGGAGCGGTTTACCATAACTTTGTATCTATTGTGTGCACATGTATTGTTGTAGTTGAAGCTGAAGTAGTCATTGACAGGTAGGACATTGTAGCAGATAATTTTATGTACTACGCTTAGGTCGGACCAAAGACGTCGAAGTTCTAAGTTGTCTAAGCCCCAAATTTGCTTTTATTTCTTCCTAATCTGGCTATTTAACTCGTGTATTGAATTAATCAAAGGCAACTTCCTGGTGCAATTGTACAGCGTAGCAGTTAGACTGCTAAATAAGGTGTGATAAGGCATTTCTCTTCACTGCCATCTAGTGGTCATTCAGGCTTTTCTTCCCCAAAGGGCTCCATTATCTGAAATATGCGTGTGCAAAGCCCGCAATCACCAAACCGGTTGTTAAATCGGCAGCATCCCACCACTGGTCTCACCCATCGTTTCATGTCACTGAACAGCATAACTTATTTCTCTGAAATGCATTCATCCAAAATGTTGTACAATTTACAACATTGTAAATGTTCTACAAGGGCTACTTCTGTTTTTTTCCATTCACTGGAACCTAACATGCAACTATTACCAATCTATACATTTTTACTTTCAGATCATGTAAATGGTATGTGGTTGTATACCACTATACCAGGGGTGAAATCCAGCAGGTTCTGACAGGTTCTGGAGAACCGGTAGCGGAAATTTTGAGCAGAGAACCTACAAATACCACCTCTGGCTGGCCCCAGAGTGGGGTGGGAATGGAGATTTTGCAATATCCTTTCCCCAGGAATGGAAAGGGAATGGGGATTTTGCAGTATCCTTCCTCTGGAGTGGGGTGGGAATGAAGATTTTGCAGTATCCTTCCATGCCACGCCCACCAAGCCATGCCCACAGAACCGGTAGTAAAAAAAATTGGATTTCACCACTGCACTATACATTCTAAAAACAACATAGATGCTACCAGTTCATACTTTCTGATACTTTAGCTTATTTGTTCATAACTCAACCAAAATGTTCAGTTGAAATATTTCAACTTCCCACTTTCTTTTAGTTTTACAGATACCAAACACAAGTAGTTTATTTTAGTTATTTGTAAATGAATGCTCCATTCCATGTCTTCCTTTTACCATTACAGCAGCAATCTTCCATATATTGTATACTTTGGTGAATATCAATTGAGTCTTTAGATAATGACCTCTGCTGCCCGTTTTACTTTTGGAAAACAGAGACTTTCCCTAATTTTGCAGTCAGTGTACACATAGAGCTGCTGTAATGTTGTTGACTATGGTATTGAACTAGGATGGGAAACTTCTCACTCATACAATCTCACTTAGTGATGCTGGACCAGGTATTCTTTCTATATTCTGAGCATGTCCAAGCCCAATTATCCTAGTTCAGACACATTATGCAAAGATCCAGCACTCTGGGAAAGCAACTAATGCTGAGGAAAGTGGAAGGAAAGAGAGGAAGATGATCAGAGGTGGATTTCACATATTGTTGCCACCGCTTTGCCATGCGCACATGCGCCCAGACTTCCGCATGCTCACTGCATGTGCACCTTCATTGCATGCGCCTGGCCTTCCCCACTGCACTTTGCTCATGCGCACGCCTTCCATGCATGCATCGAAAACATGGCTAAATAGGACGGCATTACGTCCAGGCGGGCCCACCCGCAGTCGCTGCTACCAATTCACCCGAACCGGCTGAATACCACCTCTGAAGATGATGATTAGCAGCAAAGGGGATGGATTTAATTACAATGGTGATGAATGCACCATTGGAAGACTTGAAAAAAAAATCTACCTACAGTATGTGGTCTCTATAAGTCAAAAACAACTTGATGGGCACATGACCAAGCAATCCACCACCCTGGCTTGCCTATGCATGGCATAGGCTAGGCTTGGAGTACAACTGGGCTTTGTTTTGTTTGTTTTTTGTTTTGTTTTGTTTTTATTAAATTTATATACTGCCCTACTCCCGAAGAACTCAGGGCGGCGAACAGGCACAAAATAAAATACATAGATACAAAAGTTAGAAACATAATTAAAACCAGATTAAATAATTTAGCCCGAGACAATTAAAAATCCCAATAATTTAAAACAGATTAAAATTTCAATTTAAAAGAATTTTAAAACAGGGGAGAAAATTAGGCCAGGCCGACTTGCTGGAATAGGAGGGTCTTAAGAGCACGGCGGAAAGTGCGCAGATCCGGGATCCTCCGTATCTCTGGGGGGAGCTCGGAGGGCCACAGAGAAGGCCCTCCCCCTGGGGGCCGCCAGTCGACATTATTTGGCTGACGGCACCCGGAGGAGCCCCTCTCTATGAGAGCGTACCGGTTGTCCTTTTGGTATAATGTGCTCTTAGTTTTTGTTCTGGGCTAATTATTTTCCATCTCCTGAATTCTAGCCCTGAAATGTGGAGTGCTGTAGACACATTCTTCTAAACGCCTTTTAGAAGAATGAAATATACTTCTCATTTATAGAAGGAAAGTACTCCAGATGGAGAGACAGAGACAGGAAGGGTGCAGTGGAAGCTGGATCCACAACTACTTTGTTCTATTGCCAAGCAGACTACCTTGAATTTGAATACCATCAAAGGAATAACTTATATGAAGACACATTGCGACTGTTCCCCAAGGCATGACATATGAATATACTAGTCAGTCATTTTTAAGGTCCATGTTCAATTCTCCCTTCTAGTTATGCTTTAATTTCCAGGAATTGCCTGGAAGCTCCTTTTTAATGATCACCCTCTTCTTTGCAGCTGTCAAGGATTATACCATCTGCCTTGCCAAAAGGCGATCAGAATGAATTGCTCTGAAATTGCAGTGGAACTGTTCAAAATTTTAAAATAGTAAAAATGCCAATGTTTGACATGTTCAGAAAGAAGATGGTAGCTTGAAGATAAAAAAAAAAAATAATAAAAAAAATCAGTTGTTCAGTTTACTGCCCAAAAGCAAGCTCATCACAGTCTGGAACTACAAAAGAAAAAAAACCAAAAGAACATGACCTCATTCTCACTTCTAAGTTTACTAGAGATAGGGAGCAACTAGCTCTTTTCCGAGTGGTTTCCTAAGGGCACTACAATAAATCCAATATTTGAGGGGCTGCCACAGAGAGGAGGGGGTCAAGCTATTCTCCAAAGCACCTGTAGGCCAGACAAGGAATAATGGATGGAAACTGATCAAGGAGAGGTTCAACCTGGAAATAAGGAGAAATTTTCTGACAGTGAGAGCAATCAACCAATGGAACAGAAGTTGCCTTCAGAAATTGTGGGAGCTCCACACTGGAAGCTTTCAAAAAGAGACTGGATTGCCATATGTCAGAAATGGTGTAGGGTCTCCTGCTTGAGCAGGGGGTTCTACTAGATGATCTACAAGGTCCCTTCCAACTTTGTTAATCTGTTAAATCCTCTAATATAAGCAAAGAACTGTCCTATCAGGGATGTTATTTAAAGCAGACAACAACCTCAAGAGCCTACATTCTTGAGCAAGCAAGACCTAGAACAAGCCAAGTATCAGAAGGCAGAGCTTGTGGGTTCAACATCCCTTCATGGATGGTTTCCTACATTGGAAGAAGTCACCTCTGATAATTGGCTTTCTGCGCAATGGGAAACTGTGCCCATCTCATGCTTAGTTCGCCATGCTTCTGGATGTTCACTGGTGATAAGGATTGCCATCACCTTTAACAATTCTAAGCACATTACAGCATTTCCCATGATAGGCCATTCAGAGCAGGGCCCCATTCTACAGTAGTGGCCAAAATTGTGGAAACCTTTTGGGAAAAGTGTATTTTCTAAAACTAGCGAATAACACCACCTTTTTTTTTTTTTTTGGAGTAGTATTATAAAATTATATATCAATGGAAAGATAATTGAATCAAGAATGTAATGCAATAACTTTTATGAAGGATTTGCTATTAGAATAGCAGTTAACAGTCTAAAGAAGAAAAGTGAAACACGTAGAAAAAAACGAGATATACAAAAAATATCACCATAGAAAAAACAAGATATACAAAAATTATCACCATGTCAATTAATACTTAGTTGGGTAACCTTTAGCATGAATTATGCCCTTACAACGTCTTCCCATGGAGTGAACCAAGTCTTTGAGTTCTGCAGCTGTTCTAATGTGAAACCAAGATGGAATGATTGCTTCTGTTAATTGGGTTTTATTGCTGGGTGGCTTCTGACTAACAAGTTTTTTTAGTCGGCTCCATAGATTTTCAATTGGGTGAAGGTCTGGGCTATTCCCAGGCCATTCCAGCAGTGGAATAGGATTATCTTGGAACTCCCCCCAAAAAGTGGTGTTAT